AACCCGATGGGCAAACACGTAGACTAAACCTGGGGCGGTGCATGACGGGGAGCTTGTTTCATCCAGCTGGAGGGCGGGCACAATGACAGTAGGATTGCATGACTTGTGTCTCGTAGATGGGAATAACTGCCAAACTGTAATAAAATTCGGTCGCATCGTTCGTTAGTCACTCGAATATTTTGTGAATGACGACATATTCGTCTTGATCAAGTGAACCTACCAGATTCTAAGGGTAGCCCCATACCCACCATAATGAGCTCATATCCATTTAGCCGGAGCTTCAGAACATGGGTCTCAGAAAGTCTCCCGGCCGCAGTAACTCTGTCCGTGCATGAAGCGTTATCGCTGACATGGGGTTTCTTCGAGCTAGTGTGGGGAGCTATGGGTAGCTCGGCTTTGGATTCGATGGCGACATATCACAACATAGCTGTGGAGCGTTGCGCGAGAGCGTCAGTCGTAGCCGGCATCTCATTATCCTGTCGCATTCACTGACAAGATGAGGGGTTCAACATTTACTCAAGAAGTGATAAGAGACGCATTCTCGAAGCTCACCGTACATATTCGTTAAGTAAGTCGCATTGCATTGGGATATCATTGACATTTTGTGAGATCTTACTACGTATTTTGCTATACGAGCGCTTTATTCTTCATCCGTCCGAACCTGCATTTTTCCACTCCCAAAATGACAAGCAACGCTCGTTCCGTCCCGTCGACGGACCCTAGCGTCTACGATGAATTCAAGGTGAAGTGGTCGAGCCTTCCAACAGACGAGAGCAGCTGGCTGCAGCGAGCCAAAGACGTCGCATCAGTCTTGGCTCAAGATGCAGCCGTTCGAGAGAAGGAAAACAAATCACCTCGCGCAGAGATCGCCCTTTTGAAGCACTCCGGCTTGTTAAAAGTTCTCGGCTGGAAGAAGTATGGTGGTGGCGAGCAACCATGGAGCGTGGGATACAAGGTGATCCGAGAAGTTGCCAAAGGCGATGGGTAAGTGCCATGGCCCGGGAAGTAGACATTCTAAGCATCTAACCAACTGGACTAGATCCATCGGAATGCTTCTTGGTTATCACTTGCTTTGGTCAACGACCGCAAATGTGATCGGAAGTCCAGAGCAGGCAGACCGTACTCAGGACCTCATCATCTCGAACAACTATTTCGTGGGGGGCGCTGTTAACCCTCGCGACAGCGACCATAAGATCACTTCAGATGGCGATACCGTCGTCTTCAACGGCTTCAAGAACTTCAACACCGGCGGTGTCATCTCTGACTTAACAGTGCTCGAGGGTGTTTTGGAGGGAACTGAGGACCATCTTTACGCCATTGTGAAGACAGATCAGCCAGGCATCATCTTCTCGCACAACTGGGACAACGTCGGTCTGCGACTCAGTGAGTCCGGAAGCGTCAAGATCGAAAACGTCAAAGCCCCTTGGGCTGATGCTCTGGGATGGAACGCCGCCGAGAAGAAGCCTGATCCCGCGATTCTCAAGATTCCATTTGCCTCCTTGCTTCTACCAACGTGAGATAGTCTACTACGCCGGACATCATTCAGTTGCTGACAGGCTCTACAATTAGCATTCAGCTTGTCTTCAGCAACTTCTATATCGGTATCGCATGGGGAGCACTAGACTTTGCTTCCGCATATACCAGAAAGAACACCCGGGCTTGGCCCTTTGGTGGAGACGTAAGTCCATGAGTCCTGCTGATAAAATACGGTTGCTGATGCGATTCCGATCCAGAACAAGGACAAGGCGGAAGATGAATTCTACATTCTGTCTACGTATGGCAACTTCCTGGCTCATCTTCGTGCTGCCACGGCGCTGGCCGATAAGGCTGGCGAAGAGATTGGCAATGTGTACAAGCACTCTGGAGACCCTACGACCAGAGCAAAGCTCACCGCACAAGAGAGAGGAGAGGCTGCTGAGTGGGTTGCAAGTGTCAAGATCACGGCAACTGACACCGGCTTGAGGGTAACATCGGGCATCTTTGAGGTTACTGGCGCGAAGGCTACTGGGTCCAAGATTGGTCTGGACAGATTCTGGAGAGACATCCGAACGCACTCCTTGCATGACCCTGTTGCGTACAAGAACCGGGAGCTTGGAAGATATCAGCTGTTGGGCGAGATTCCTGAGCCTACTTGGTACACATGAGGGGTAGTCTTCTAGACAGATTTGGCGAAAAGAATACATTCAGATGAGGAACACGATGCCGCAAGAAAACCTAGGCATTTCTTTTCATTCGCTGTAAAGAGGACATAGTGATGAACAACGCCTTTGCGCCCGAATGTAACCATTACAGGTTAGAAGATGTTCCACGACCAGTAACAATCAAAATCCATGCCAGCTGGTAATCGCAAAGCAGCCAGTTACGTATTGTCGGACTCTGAAGATCGGAAGGAGACCATGCAACAAGTCGATCACTAATTTCCATGCCGAGAACGAGGCGTTTGGTGAGAGCGATCGAAATAGCCCCCATATCTCTGAGTAGCACTGGTCAAGGCCTTGTTGCACTATATAATACCCTGGTCTACTCTTAAGAGCTAGTCTTCTTCTCCCAACTACGAAACATCAGTAAATGCATAAAAGTCAATACCCAGTGTGAAAGGCAACTCACAGGTCAAGGAAGAGCTTCCAGAGAATTGAGAACAGAACACCCTGCAAGCCATTGGCCAGAATGCGAGTCTTGAGGCCACGGCCGAGGAAGCCGAGAACGCCGTCTCTCTCGATGACATTCTTCGCTGCTTTCGCTGTTGTGGAGTATTCTGTTAGTAGATGTTCCTCATAGTCCTGCGAAGACACATGAAAAGAAACTTACTGTAAGAGATCTTGGTGTCATTGACCTGGCGATACGTCTTCACAACTCTCAACGAGTTTGACACAGTGTCAGACACAATAGAAGCGCAGAAGCCAATGAAGGCGAGACGAAGAAGCCAAACGAAGATATCGCTTTTGTCAGGCTCGGGGATATTGGCGGTGAGATAGTTGTACTGCAAAGGTCAGCGAGGTATGCTGATATTGACAACAGTGAAACTCACAGTTCCAAACCACGGGTAGTGTCCGACGAAGGTAGCCGCAGCAGTCGCGAATGCTCCCCACCACAGACTTCCGATACCGTTGGTTTTGACACGCTGGCGAAGAATGGCAGTACCCTTCGCTCCCTGCGCTTGGAGTGTAGTCTTGAGAGTGTCGATAGGAGTCAGAATCATGCGGAAAGCGGCGGCGCTTCAATAAAGGGTCAGTACACTTTTACGATAACATGATCAAAAGTTTAATCTTGAGCGGGAATTGCCTACCAAAGCGAAGCAAAGACAGTCTTGATGAGCGTTGGGAGCTGGTTCAAGAATGAGTTTGACTCAAGAAGAGCCAAAATACCGGCATTAGCTGCCGTGTCACCGAAACGGGAGACGGGGCCTGGTAATTGTCAGTCACAGTGATCGCATGGAAAGCTTCAATCTGGAGACAAACCCTGAATGAGGGCAGCGCCAAGTCCCTGGTAATAGCGACCGAAGCCTCCGTCATGGTAGAGAGTCGCCGTAGCAGTTCGAAATCCAGTGCCAAAGCGATACTGGTAGTTCATAATTGTACGAAGAGGCTGTCAAGATGTCAGGGCGTATTCTCATAACCAATAAATATGAGGGCATACCATAAGCGTCAAAACTTGCAGAACCATGGCAGCAGCGCCGCTCAAGCCACCGCCCAGGGCTCTCTTGAGTGCCTTTCCAAGATCAAACTATGCGTCACTGTCAGCTGGACTAGCTTTATCGCGATCTGAGCTGTTCGTTTCACTCACATTCGTATCCTTCGCGTCAACCCATCCTTTAATGAAAACAACCAAGACGAAGATGGCTAGAACAGCCCAAAATCCTCTCCATAGCCACCATCCAGTCGTACGCTTAGGCTTTTCTTCCTCATCAGGACTCGGTGCAATGAGGTAGACCTGCTCTGGATCCTGGTCTTCGTCGTGTTCGTTATCGCCGGTCCTCCGATCCTGGTATGCCGGAGGTGGACGAGTCGCCTCCTCATCCTCGGCCGAGGCCCCGAGAAGCGGCGTGCGCTCGTCGGTCGCCTTTCTTTGGCTTTCGAGATCCGTTTGAGACGCCATTGTTACTGACTTGGAAGCCCACCGAAAACCGTCAAGTTGTGGTTTATCGGAGTGAAGGTGAACTCTCGGTTGATGTTGAAAGTTGGATTTGTCATAGACTCTCGGACCCGCGGTCGGCGGTATCGCGTGCATGCGGGGTGCTATCGCGTGCTTTGACACTGTGCAGGCCCAATTAACTGCGCCACTCCTGGAGATACCAGCCACATGGTAACCCCTGTAAGGATGTTGGGATGACTTTCAAAACTCTTGACATCATTATTGATGTTGGCGAATTTATTATGGAGAAGAAGAGATATCTGGTAATTGGATACAAGTATGCTGTATCGTTACAAAGGAGCGATACAACATAAACCGGATGATCAAGTTGGACCAATCCATGGAGTCCACAAAGGCTCGAACCTCTTAGCCGATGTTGGGGTTTAACACTTTAGGCGTCTTATTGATCATCCCCTCTTAACAATAGTAGCAGAAGTGCAACGTGATCTATTTGGCCTCTTGAATCATCCATTGGCACTATGTTTCATACTCTCCGCCAAAAATGAAGTCGGTGTTGGTGTGGCTGGTGGCTGATATTTTGTTTCAATCAGGAAGGTGTTCGCGGCGTGTCGGGCACTCAAGCACCATGAGCAAGGGTATGAGTAAATGCGCTTGATAGGCCGATAACATCAAGTGAGCTTGGCAATCAAATATCAGTGTCATAGTGGGGTTATCGTCCTGTCAGTCAATGCTTCCTCAACTACTTGGACCATAACTTCTCATGTCAGCGAATTAACCGACATCTGTATCTTCTTTTAGGTGATTCCAAATGGTGTGCAATACGTCTCCACTGTGGTGGATGCTCTCCTTTTTGTCTATTGAATACTAACCAGGGTCTAAAGGCGCATGAGACCTCCGACGCTTATCCGATGCGCCTGCGCATGGAGGCTTTTATCCGGCGGAAGCAGAAAGAAATTATATCAGCCCTGGAGTCACTTGACGGAAACACATTTCGCACAGATGAATGGGAACGACCGAATGGTGGCGGTGGCGGCCGTACATGCGTTCTACAAGATGGTCACGTCCTCGAGAAGGCCGGAGTGAATATCAGCATCGTCCATGGCAAGCTCAACCGCAGTGCAATCGAGGAGATGCGACAGAACCACAAGAACATAGCTACTGATACAGATGAGCTGGACTTCTACGCGCTGGGGCTGAGCATGGTCGTTCATCCAAAGAATCCGATGGCACCCACGGTGCACATGAATGGGCGCTACTTCGAGACTGTTCGCGATGGTTCTGCGCAGACCGCTTGGTTCGGCGGCGGCAGTGACCTTACCCCAAGCTATCTCATTGAGGAGGATGTGAAACATTTCCATGCAACACTCAAGTCGGCGTGCGATGAACACGATGTCGGTTATTATCCCAAGTTCAAGAAGTGGTGCGACGAGTACTTCACCATCAAACACCGTGGGGAAAGGCGAGGAGTTGGGGGGATTTTCTTCGACGATCTAGATGAGAACTTTGGGAACCTCGAGCAGATATTTGCATTCGTGCAGGCGACTATGAATGCGTTGATACCAGCCTACATACCGATTGTGGAAAAGCGGAAAGGCCTTTCGTTCAATGACCAGGAGAAGGAGTGGCAGCAGATTCGCAGGGGAAGATACGTCGAGTTCAACCTCGTTTATGATCGCGGAACGGCTTTTGGATTGAATGTGCCTGGTTCAAGAGTTGAGAGCATTCTCATCAGCCTCCCAGTCACAGCTCAATGGCACTACATGTATGAGGAGCCGGAGCCGGATAGTCGGGAGGGCAAGCTCCTTGAAGTGCTACGGAGTCCTCGGGAGTGGGTTTGAGGTTACCCGAGCTGTTGACAAGATATCAAATCGGCACATCCATCGTCATTTTCTTCTTCCATAGGCATGAGCCGCAAACGGCGAATTGCGGAACTTTGCAATCGCATTCACCGGAGTTCTCACCATCACACGAAGTGCGAAACATGAATTCTCCACAACACGCCTGGGTATGCTTTTGGAGCAATACGATGAACCTGACAACTCATCTTAATTTTGGCATATTCCCTTTGGCTTTCTCGAAGTCTTTTGCTGATAATATCAATAATCTCCTCATCATGGTATCACTTGCGGTCAACCCCCTACTAGAACCCCTCCCTATTCCTACCAAGCCGTTAAAGTTCCTTGACATTCTCCACCTCCCACACTGCGCCTTTGCACTGAGGCTCTCTGAATCTTCCCGTCTCGCCTGCAGAGCAGTGGTAAAGGAAGCCGTACCCGTTACAAGCGACTAAGACCGTTGAGTCGACCTTCCCAGCGCGGAGGACAAGCTGACTCTGCTTATGAACGACGGAGGTTCCCGAGTCACCGCAGAAGTAGACGTTGTTCTGTTTGAGCCCGCAGTTTGACACTCTTTGGTATGAATTCGGCTTGCCGTTGAAGGTGCCCTCGCCGCATGCCGCAAGGGCCTTGCCAGATAGCAGGGCCGTAGCCAGGATGGCGAAGTAGGAAATTTGCATGTTGGCTGAGTGCAACTGGGGTAAATAAAGATGACTGTGCGTCATATTCTGTCAACCTGTAGTCCAAATTTACCTAAGATCTGTTAGAATGCAGGCTTACCTATTTTGCTTGAAGAGAAGCCGAAACTGTAGTGCGTGGTGACTGGGAGAAATAACCGGGTGCCTTGAATCACCTGAGTATTTATTCTTTCCATCTTTACTCTTCTCAGTAACAGTGCTTCTCGGCATCGTCGGTAGGATAATTTGGCAATTGATGAAATCTCATCTCGCCAAATGCCACCAAAACCTTATTCGGTTCGAACCGCAAGGGAACCTGAGTAATGGACCGCATTTTCACAAAGACTAACGGAACACTCCAGGTGCCTCACTTAGTCTTCTGATTAAATAAAATATCCAAAGCCCAGGTCTTACTAGTAGCATTCATTGGTGGAAAGATAGATCAACGGTACCACCAAGTCTCTCAAGTCAAAGTTTCAACAACAAAAGACTTGTTGACTGCCTAAGTACTAATAGGGGCGCGCAACTTGAGTCAAGGCATAATCCAGCAAGTCACTCGTGAGCCGATATTATAATCTTGGACCCGAGTGCCCAGGGATCGCAGCTGAGGATAGATAATTCAACGGCTTGTGGCTGAGCACGCTCGTGACGAACATGCACTGGCGACATATTATTAGCGTGACATGCATAGAGATTCCGATCGTATTACTCAGTTGCCACATTTTTAACAATACCAAAACCCCTCCATCATGGACAAGAAGGGCTGTGCGCCGAATCACCCTCACTCAAGTTTTCCAGGCATTCTGTGTGCTGGATCCACGCTATGCAACCCGGCATCGGACTCGCACTTGTTTTATCAATCCCTAGATGAAAGTTCAACATCATGAGGTTGAGGAAACTTGTGAAAGTCCTGAACGTACGACCATCGCAGCGTCGAATACTGCTTCTGTGAGGGCTTACACAAATGACTCTTCAAAAGGTTTGTATCTATACGTTTTTATGCGTTTAAACGAGACACGCGAGTTTTAGGGCCGCATGACCCCAATCGCCATTTAATTCCGATTGGATTGGCCCGTGGCTCCTTATATCGCTCATGTCATCATCGTGCTTCGTCACACCAGGATCACGCATGCTCTCCTCATTTTCGAGATGTGTTGCCTGTCCACGACCGCAGTCGCTTCAGTATATCACTCGTACCATGGATACCGAATCTCCGTCTATTATTTGCATCTGTCAAGATCATGAGGAAGAGGCACTCGCGGCGGCTGTTCTCGGGAGCGACGACGAAGGACTTCCCGTCACCGAAACGAACACAATAAGCTCAGACAGGGGAACGGCGAAAATTCTCATTTTGGGCTCCTCCAATGAGGTGTTCAGCACGGGCGACCTACAGTACACATTAACAAGTCTCTCGTCGACTCAATGCATTGTTGTCACAACCATCCCCACTCTGCCGCTGCTAGACGCAAACTCCATAGATTTATTCCTAAGCCCATGCCTTGGGAAGGAGACAGTCGCTGTGTCACCGCTACAACATGCTGTCAGTGTTCTTCATGCGGAGGTCGGGGACTTCGGGGGATGGCTTTCGCTTCATCATTCCGCCCCTTCTTCTGACTCAGTTTCCTTGGGTTTGAGCAGCCCACTTGGAGACCAACCAAAGCTACACTACGACATAACTCTAGAATCTCTATCTGCTACCCCGGCATTTCCATCGGCTGCACTACGTGAGCCCTCTGGGTGCCTGTGTATCTGCCTTAGCTGAATTGTGATCAGAAGTTCTTCAAACGTATCATCATGGGACAGCCGTATGCGTATTTTCGGTACAGACTGACGACACCAATATCGATCAACGATCATTCCAGAATGCGGTTCTACTCGCAAAAGAACTTCGATATTTGGCAGTTGACACCGACTCTTCGCTATTGACGATAGACTCTCTTTCAGCCACAGAGCATTTTGTGCCCGCAAGGCCAACACAGCAGCCGAAACCATTACCTACATATCATTTCCCGACCCGTGGAAAAAATGTTCTTCTGGTCATACCAACTGAAAACGCCAAGAAGAAGGAGGTCCTTGAAACGAGCATCATGCGAAGAGCGCCTGCTGGCACTCAAATACATACCATAACATTCCCAGTTGAGTCAGGCGTTGGAGAGCAGCCCTACAGTATTGCTGGCTCAGAAGGCGCTCGAAATCGTATTATGAATGCCCTTGCGAGGCTTCAGTCACCAGAATACGCCGAGACATTTTCCAAAGAAAATATCGGATCAGTCATCGCGGCCTCTATCGAAAACTATGTTCAGACGGAGGACATTGATCGCCCGGCTGATTTCGCGATTGCAGTTGTTCATAATGCCACCATGAACCAGACGCGATCAACTTCATCTCGCGGCGTAACTATCGCGCCTCGGTACGTCGATCGTGCTCGCAGGTTTGGGACGATCGGTAATGCCAATTATGGCAACGTTACGGTGGGCAAAGTCATGGCTGCTCGTGTTCCTCAGCTTGATCATGCCGATTGGCACGGCGTTGTGGCTGGTATTTCCAGATATGACTTGCTAGCTGAGGCGATTGCCAAAATACAGATACCATGGTAGACAACCAACAAAAGCGTCATCCGTCTAATATCAAGATCATCGAATGCTACCGATAAGACTGAACAGAATGACCACTGTCACTTTCAACGACCAAGCACAGTGTCCGTCACCCTGCTGTCTTGTTGTTCTCAATAGTCGTCCACTCTACTGGACCGAAGCCATCGAACCGTTGCTCTTTGAATTTGTAGTGGTCCTCTGTGCTCTGTGATGTCTTGCATCAATGCCTACGCTTTCTTGTTCTTGGAAGATCCCCCGAGAATCTTTGCTCTGATTTTCCCGGCAGATCCCCCGATCCATGCCCCCCATACGGCGAGGACAAAAAGCGTCAAAGGAACCGTTACAACCCAGTATATCCAGAATCGAGTGGAAAAGTTCCATCCATACTCGTGAAATTCGAAGAAGGTTGTGCTGAACAAAGCCTTGAAAATGATTAGGGGGGCGCCTAAGAAGTATGTTTGATGGCCTGACTAGCGTAAGATTGCTTACCGATATGAACGTAGCCGGCAAAAATATCATAGTTAGGAGAGTAATGGATTTCATGATCTGACTATCCGTGTTTGCGATCACATTGTACGCCTAATGGTTGACTTTAGCAGCCTGGACGCGATGAAATACTTGTCCAATGGTAATCAGTGAGCCTACCAAGTTCATTTCTCCATCCAATCTTTCGGAGTTAGCTTGAGAACGTCGCCTGAGGCTCTTCATTATCTGCAGCTGAAATCTCAAATATTCGATTGCCTCGGACTGGTAGTCCTCCTCCAGTTCAAGCTGCCTAAAGTTGTCTTCTTGCCTAGAAGCCAGGCGTTCCAAGGTCTCGACACTAACTTCTTGTACTTCTTCGATGTGCCGCGCATGTCTACGAAGATCATTAAGCTCATCGAATGAAGGTCTCTTTGAGCGGCTCTGTATGTAGTCAGCACAGGTCAATACGGTCATGACCGCCCACAACGGGTGTGATGAACGGAGGGCTGGAGGTGGCTCATGTGCCTCACCTTCTCGTGTTTTCGAATCTCTTTGGACATTCGCCAGGTGTATTGGTCACTGATCTTGAGGATCTCGTCTAAAAGCGGCCGGAACAGTGCAAAAGGATCCTGAAACTCAAGAGTGCCTGAGGAGGCCAGAGATTCGAACAGGCGTTCCTTCAATTCTCCGGGTGTGTCGATGCACAGAATCTGGTTTGTACCGTTTGAAGTCCACCGTGTGAAGAACGCCATTTCAAACCATTCATATTTCTTACCACTTCCGTATCTACATTTTTCGCTGCTTTCGAGAATCTTTTTCGTAAGAATACGAGTCCAGGTGGCTAGCAATGCATCAAGTATTAGTCGCTCCTAAACTGTTTATATGAAAAGAACAGGGTAAAGAAGGGCTCGTTTCTGCATACTCAGACTGTCCAGCTTTTTGTTCAGTGATTTGAATTTTCCCTGAGATGGATCTTTGGCTGAGCTCCTGCATCCGAAGTAGCCGTTCAGTTCAGCGCAAGTTTTGTTGCTGACAAAGTCCGGGACATTAAACCATCGCAAGACTTTGCGACGGTGCTCGTCTGACTGGTCTTTCTTCCCTTCTCGTGGGTCTGCGTCTCCTTTGAACGAAACTTCATCTTGGAGAAACCTTGGTCAAACTGGTCAATTACTTTCCCATTCATTTTAACGGCATTTGGATTACAAGTAGCATTTCTTCTTAAGTCTGAGGTTGTCATGGAGCAGGTTGACTGGCGCAGGGGTCCATTCCCACATCTCATCTGTTTCTGGGATACATTCAATTTCAAAGCGCAAGTCTTGTGATTGGAGCCCACGAACCATTGAAAAATAGAACCTCCGCCGCCATTTTTGCGAACGGCTAGCTAATGTTTGTCGCCTATGTGGTTATCATTCCCGTTGCAAGCCTGCTTTGAACTAAGGTACAGCTCGAGACAGATTTGCCAAGAGTGGGAGCAAGATTAGGGATGCGCATGTGTCAGCCATTTGCCCGGACGGAATTGACACTGAAAAGAAGGACTTCGACCTTAAATGTCCCTCGTAAGTGCATAATGACAAGAAATACCGCATCTGTGGACGGCTGCATTGGGTTGCTCTGCATCGATGTAAAATGCGGGGCAGACGTACTATCCTTGCTGCGTCACAACAGGTAACCAACTAAATGGAAGTACGTGGCCAAGTAGTTGCTCTGGCGCTTACGGGGGCTTTTCTAAAGCGTTGTGACAGAGAAGGCCACCAGTAGCAGGACCGTGTGCTTTTCGTAACTCAGCATATGCTTAGCACACGCAACTTTCCTGCAGCTCCGTCACTGTCGCCTGTCAGCCTGCCTGATCACCGAACGCGGCTGCATGAGTAAACCCGAGAATACGCGAGTGTCGACGCGAGCGTCGAATTGAGTTGAATTGAGTCGAATTGAGTCTAGCAGGAGCTAACTGAGCAATCCGCAATCTAGATGTGTCCCACTAAATTCCCGAGGACTCGGATGGTGTATCGATGCATAATTGACTGGGCTAACAGTATTATGACTTGGATCGACATTATAGATATGAGCACAGCGAATTTCTTCAACATGGCTTCGATATATTTTCAATCTCCTGCCGCCTGGTATCACTGACTTACTCGAAAAAAAAGCCATTGCGGCTCCGTGTACAACTCCGTACCACATGCTACTAAGTCCATTGGCTGACGAGTTGGCCATAAGCCAGGTCGAATGCCATGCACCATAGAGAAAACGTAACGCCATTTTCACTCGCAACTTGCAAGTGTTTCAACGTGAGGCCTTGACTTTTGCACGTATTTGTCGTTTCTTCTTGGGCATGATGAATATCGTCTCTCGCGTCTGGAATGAAGACTTCCTTGTCAGATTCATGCTTGATTCTTTCTCGCGTTTGACCCATGCGTCTGTGAAGCACCGACCTCAGCCAACATTATGTATGTCAGCGACGAAGGAGAAGATTTTGGCCAGGGGTCACCAAAAAAGTTGGGGCTTTCAGGTCGTCAACTCCACCAGCGAGGATGAAAAGATCTTTGGTATTCCGAACACTGGTTTGCTTTAATGAACGTCTGCCCAGCCCCAGAAAGGCTCTGCTAAACTCACTCCCCACATACAAGGTCCTCGAAATACGAGTCGTCTTTCGGACGAGCAACCGAATGCAGGTCACATTAGGGACCCGCTGGAGCACTGGACACGCCAATAGTGAAGCGCTCGACGTTGCCAAGCCAGGCTTCAGTGGGTTAAATGGGCGGGAACTTCGGGGTTTAACTCTAGGCTGCCGCCAACGAGCGCCCCACGATGTCACACCGCATATACGCGATGAACCGTTGGTACTTGACTTCTCGCCTGCCCATGCGTTCTATCACTTCACAGTCTCAAAGCCGTCAATTGCTTAGAGAATGAATCGGCAATGGAGTCCTGATATTCCAATACGCCCTGTTGGTAAGCGTGGTAAGACTATCGTTGCAGTCAAGCGAACGTCAACCGAGGGTTCAACTCGGCGAGCCAGGTGCTGCTGATCCGCACTGGTATCCTCGCGGCAGGGGTGTCCTGAGGTGGCCTTCAGGTTAAACCAGCAACAACTAACACGATCATGCTTAGGCGACGGCATGCCGCGGGCCGTTCAGTGGGTACTGGCCTTCACTCTGTGGATAAGATACCTCCAAGCGAGTGAAGCTATTCCCTTTCCATTACATACCGTTATGTCCAGCTTACATGGAGCGTTGATTCGGCTCAAGCGGATAGCTTAACTGAGCCTTACCGACCCTGGCAACTTCTTTCCACGTTGTAAATGAAGCTGACATAGATACGGGGCATCAAAAAGATCTTTTGTATGAACTACCTTATCGAAGAAGAGCAGTTCCACAGATACCAGGCAGGCAGGCAACCTTTCGGCGTACAGAGCAAGACGAGGTATCTCAAGAACTTGACCAAAGAAATGAATATATAAACGAATAAATTTCGCTGCCAATCTTTCCCTCTTCATCCTCTCTCTCCACCAGCAGCTCCCACCACAACCAGCGAGGGCTCCAATTTGTTCAAGATGGTCTCCTTCACCCTCCCCGCCCTCGCTACTCTGGCCCTGGCAGCCCTTACCAACGCCGCCCCAACCGCCCAGACCGAGTCCGTCGAGATCTTCTCCTTCTCCAAGTGGGTCGACGGCATCATCGCCAACCCGGACGGCGACAACCTCACCCCCGAGGAGGCCGTCGAGGCTTGGCACGCGTCCCTCAACGAGACCAGCGCTGCTGCCGAGAACGGGCTGCTCCAGAAGAGGTACTACTGCAACACAATCCCCAACACCGAGGCCTATGTAAGTAAATGATAAATCATAAGCAATGAGTATCTCTAAGCGCGTCGTATCTAACCCAAATGACCAGGTCCCCGACGCCGTCACGTGCATCAACGAACTCGCCCGCAAGGGTGGCCAAGCCTGCCAAGTTGACCGCTCCAGCGTCTTCTGCGTGGCCGGACGGGCTCAGATTACTGGTGTCGCCGGCGGCGGCGCTACTACCACTTCTTCGTCTTGGTAAGTCCACTCACTATTTGCGTCTTTGTTTTTACTCGAGAAATCAGCTGACCCAATGTTTCAGCAACGACGTCGCTCGTGGTGCTGGGTTCGTGATGGACTACTGCACGCGCGCGGACAACACAGTCCAGGGAGCCGAGTATGCGTACGGCAACGGAAACTTGCTTGTCTGGATCCGCAAGCCTGGCAACTAGGCTTCGTTCCAGTATCTGTACACGAGGCTTTGAGCACCAGGCTGGCGGTATGAAACGGTCAAGCTGTACTGCCTCGAGATATGCTTCATCATGTACATAAAGTTATCTACGATCACGATCATGATTAAATGTTAATATTTATTGTTGGATTTGCTGTCTTGGTCTTCACACCATCTTCCATCCCGTCTCTGAGTTGCTGTTGAATGATAGGTTGTGTAAAAGGCCTTCGACTTATACTTCCGGTTGACTTCTATAAGGTAGCGATTGTATGCTGTTGCTTCTGTAATCGATTCATAACGCCCTCCTTGTCCCTGAAGTCCTTCACGTTCATGCTACTATTTTGATCACGTCTGCTAGCTTCAATGATCCCTCCCGGAAAGGAGCGGCACATGTAATCCGTAGGCAGCTTAGAATGAAATCGATGACACCCAAAGTGCCGCATCATCGACGACTTGGTTGGTTCCGGTCTGACTCACCAAAGCCTGGACCAATCCTATGCTGTCAGCTCAAGCCTCACATGTGCAACCGTTGGTGCCGAATCTTTATCAACGCAATAAACAACACGAACCCCGGTCCACGCTTCTTCCCACGGCACAAACACCACCATCATGGCTGCCTGCGAAGCTAACCCCAACGCATCCAGATCTCTCTTCCTCCAAACTCCTCAGCGCCAGTGCCCCTCGCACCACATCCTCATCTCCTGCGGCACCGTCCCCATCGACCCCGTCTCGCGCAAAATCGCCGTCCTGCGCGACATCGCAGACAACACCGTCTGGCTTCCCAAAGGCCGCAAAGAAATCGGCGAAGACCTTCTTGCCACGGCTCTGCGCGAGACGCGCGAGGAAACGGGGTTGCAGGTCGAGGCGCTCCCTCTCAAGGTAGCCACGCGGGCCACGCCTGATCCCAAGCTTCAGGGGACCTTTCCTGTGGGCGAGAATGCTGATGTGACGGACGGCCTGGAGAATTGTGAGCCGTCGTCGGTTTGTGTGTACCCGTGCGTCTTCACTGGTGCGCTGAAGATTGTGTTCTGGTTTGCGGCGAGGGTCGATGTAGAGGATATTCCTCGGGATGTGGAGAGGGTGCCCTGGGATGAGAATATGAGGCTGGAGTGGGTTGATGCGAGGAAAGCAGCCGGGATGATGGCGTTTAAGGCGGACGGGGAGGTAGTTGAGAAGGTGTTGGATGACATGCAAAAGTCTGGGTACCACATTTAATGGTTGAAGCTGACTGGGAGACTTGGGACGGCACGAGTGGTGAACGGTGAAGTTCGATATCAAAGTGGCTATGCCGGATTTAACATTAGGTAGGGGTATTGTCTATCATCGCGCGTCTAATCTAAACGGTCTTTACTTCTTGAACGCTGGCTGCTTCCTGATGAGCCCGTCTGCGTCTCATCAACCTCAACAACACTCATGTCGGTGCGGACGTTGAAGGTCCGACCTCTCCAATTCACAGTGGATCCGCAGAAAACGGCCCAGGTCCAGATGGGAAGAGCAAGGAATTCTCTGCCAAGCCAAGC